TGAGGTGCATAATGAATTCTGATGATGATGACAATGATGGTGAAGACTCAAAAAATTACTATAAGATACCTACTGGGGAGGAAAGCTAAATGTGCAGTGACCGGTAAAGATAAGCTCTGGCAACATTGCTATGATTGCTAGCCAAATTCAGGATAGAGGTAGCTAAGTAAGAAGAGATGATCTGTTTAAAAAACTTTAAGAAGTAAAACAGGGTGAAGACGAAAGCAGAATCAAATGGACACCAATTCCATGAGGCACAGTACTCAGAGGACAGTGTCACAGAATTTCCCTGCTATTGTCATGCAGTCTTAAAAAAAAGGAGGCATGTTAACCCCCCTCCCCAATCAGCTTTGTAGTGCAGTGGGGAAGGATACATAGTAGCTGAGTGTCTCCTGAGCTCTAGGTCTAGTGTCTCCAGGCTGCCCTGAAACACAAGAGGCAGCAAGGAAACCACTCCCTGAGGATGGATCTTATCCTCTGACTAGGCTGAGGCTTCTGCAAAGCTCAGAAAGGGGTGGGGGAGGGTAGGGAAGCAAAGCTATGGACACAGATCACACACACACAGACATACACAGATACACACATAGACACACAGACACACACTACCTCATCTACCTGCTATCTACTGGATGGAATACTCTAATCAAAATAACAGTCAAGTGAAGCTTCTTTTTCTCTGACAAAAGGCGAGTGGTTAGCTCCATGGGTCAATAGAGACAAAAAGTGGCTTACTAGTGAAGCGGCATTATCAGAAACACTTGTTGATCTGTGACAAAGCTATGCCCTTATGACTCCTAGAAAAGGAAAAGGATGACAATCTAAGGTTACCTTCAAGTTCTGCAGCTTCTCGAGCTTCTCGTTCCAGGCGCTGCCTGAGCAGCTCCTGCTGCTTTTCCAGATACTGCTTTATAAAGCTATTCTGGCTCATCTCCTCACCAATCTGAAAAGAGCAACAGAAAGAATAAGAATCTTAGAGGACAATACAAGAGAATGCATAGGAAGAAAACACAATGGGACACATATAGTTTCTTATATACAGATAGAAGAAAAGCAACCATGATGTAGCCGGATTTTTGTCTGAACTACTCATATGATATGCTAAAAAGCAGCTGTGTCTCACATAAGGTGGCAATAGAAGGAATTATGCACAACCATCAGTTCTAACCAACCAGGTCTAAATAATTTAACTTGATGTTTTATCCTATATAAATAAGTTAGCAAGAATTATGGTTTAATGTTTCTAAGTATACTGTATTTGGATTTCATAAGTCCTCTGGTAAGAGGATCATATAAACTCTATTTGTGTCAACTAAAGAGATTGGCAGACAGGTAGCTGAAGAGACACATTTTCACCCTTCTCCATCAGCATAAGACAAGCCTAAGAGCCTCCATTATTCAGAGGAAGTAGTAAAAAACTTGTCCATCTATATGGTAAGTGGACTTGAAATTCAGCTTTTTTTGGGTCATGGGAAAATTACTGATAAGAAATGCAACAATCTACTTAAAGACCATGGTTTTCCTCAAACTTCTTTGCTCTTCTACTCTTGTAAGAATCTTTGTTTTTTTAAGAGGAAAAAACAAACACTTCAATAAAGAAACAAAACCAAAAACCAAGTATGTGCTTTTACTTCTGTGTTTTCAACCTTTTCTTATAAGCTTTAATATTTCACAAGGCCTGGATCTTAGGTAGAGACTTCAGATCAGAAAGTTTATAAAGAATTTAAGCCCACTCTTTGTAAGAACAGAGGTGCTAGGTTGGAAATACTACAACATTGAGCATGACTTAGCCTGGGCCAGTTTCTTAGGCTTGTTAAAGTACCTAGACTAAAGCGTTGTAAACTGTCAGGATTAAGGAACTGTCTGGCTTAATGAGGAGATAATAAGGGAAAAGGTTGGGCCTCTGTGGAGCTTTTTTTCCCCTAGTATCCTGGGACCTAATCTAATAGCAAAACTAAAACGTTCAAAGTAAGAGAAGCCTAGGATGTGTTTGTCCTTTAATGTTTTGCTAGAGAATCAGAGACTATCAGAGTTGAAAGGAACTTTACAAATAATTTAAATACAGTTCCCCTCAATTTACAGGTTAAAAAAATGGAGACCCAGATAGTTTTGGTGACTTGTCCAAAGTCAAGTAGCCAATCAAACAATATCAAGCTCCTACTATGTGCCAAGCCTGGGGATACAATAAAAGGCAAAAGATAGTACCTACCCTCAAGGAGCTTACAATCTAATAGGGGAGACAACATGCAAACAAATATATACAAAGCAAGCTATACACAAGATAAATAGGAGATATTAAAAAAGAGAAGGCACTGGAATTAAGAGAGGTTGGGGAAAGCTTCTTGTAGAGGGTAATGTTTAAAAAAAAAAAAAAGAAAAGGTAAAGTTTTAGTTGGGACTTAAAGGAAGCCAAAGAGGCCGATAGTTGGAGGACACAAGGGAAAGTGTTCCAGGCATAGGTGACAGCCAGAAGGAATGCCTAGCGCTGGGAGATGGAGTGTCTTGTTCCTGGAACCGCCAGCCCAGTGTCACAGTTAGTTTTATCTACAGGGAAAAGGATTAAAATTTATTTCTTCAAATTGAAGTGATTTACAAGGCTCTTATTAATGGGGAGAAGTTAGTGGGTGATCTAGTCCTGGCCAGTTTATAAATCTAGGTAACATAAGCTTTTCATCTTGCCTGCCTTAATCAGGTGTTTGCCCAAACCATTCTAACCATTTCAAATTTACATCCAGTGTAATCAAGACAATTTTTTTTTTCTCACCAGTGATCTGACATTCTGAACCCGATCTAGGTGAGGTGTCCTCTCAAGACAGTTCTACTAAACACATATGTGAATCTCAGAAAGCAATATGACAACTTTTTTCCCTTAGGATTTTGTAAACAACTGAAATGAATTAGGAATCCAATAGCTTTAATAAAGGGGCATTTCAGAATTATGTGAAATGGGAAGGATTTTGGTAGGTAATAAAAGTTTTAGGCATTGGTGCGTCCACATTCACATTAGCAGCCCACTATTACTAAATTAACTTTTTGTCTTACCTGGGAGTTTGGCTGGAATGCAGTGTGAGGTGTTGAATGTTTCTGTAAATTCTCCAGCATTAGAGCCTGGGACAAAGACAGAAAAACTCAGAAACACACACACACACACACACAAATCAAACCCTCTCCCTCCATCCCCCTTACCAAATGAAAAACTAACCATATACACTCAAATTATGCTTCTTTTTCAAGGACTTCAAAGTCCTTTACTAATATTGTTTTCATTCAGTTTCAGAAGAACCCTAAGGGCAGCCATGCCTATTGTCCTGAATATACAGATGTAAAAACTCAAAAATATATAAAATTAAAGCCAGTTGGCTCCTGTCAAAAAAATCTAGTCAGTGACAGATCCAGCATCAGGATTCTCAGTTACTCTGCCTTTATGGCTTCTGCTATTCTCAAACTTGGCCATGCAATCACATTCAATTCAAAGGTTAAAACCAACTCCAAGAGCCCCAAATTTAACAGTTAATTGCTCTTCTTGGACAGAACCAATCACTTTGACAAACAGCTGATAGATTATAGATCATAAGTTCTTTGAGATCAGGACCATGTCTACTTAACTGGGCTTGTACAGTACTGAATTCAAGAGTGCTTTATAAATCCTTTCTGATTAAAAATGTTACATGCCCCAATACCTGATTCCCCCCCCCCCAAAAATGAACCCAAAACACTCTGGTTTATCAAAACTGCAAATTGGTTTGACTAAATCTATTAAAGGAAACAACCATTATTAGTCCTAAATCCAACAATATGACTCCCAAAACTATTTGTTCCCCAGACAACCTAAACCCAAGGCCAAGGCCAAACATTCTGTCAACTCAAACCCATACTACTTGTAAAATGTTAATCCTACCCTAATTCAAACACTGACATTATCCTCTAATTCAACTACTCCAAACCTATGTCCTTATCAATTAAACTACCTAATGGCAATCCCTCCCTGATTACCAATTTTCCATATACCTACTCAAACCAATCATATCCAAGGTCTCTGAAACCATGCTAACTGGCTCTGCTTCCTCCACTTATGACAACTCTTTATCTCAACCAAGACCCCTATAAACAAATGGCCCACAACCAGCCAAGCCCCTTCTCCAGTTTTTCTCTTCACTTCATCCTCCAATATAATTAACCCCTTCAGTGCTAGCCTAAACAAGACCCAGTTCCTATCTACCTTCTTAGTCTGATTCGGTCTTCCCAACAACAACCCCAACTGCCACTTTGCCCAACTACGCCTCTAACTCTGAGCGCCCCCCCCCCACCCCCGCCTTCCCAGGTCAGTAATACTAGTGGTGGTGGTGGGATTTAACTCCTGCCGCGCATGCGCCGAAACCACAGACACAAACAAGGAGGGGGTGGGGGAGGAGGAAGCTCAAGACACTCTAGGGAGAGTAGCGCGCACCCTCCCGTTTCGAGCTCGCGCTGCTGCCGTTAAAGGCGGGAACCGGCACAGGCTCCCTTCCAGGGCAAGCCCCACCAACCACCGCGCGCGCGGATCCAGAGGCTCGCGCTGGCGGCCTGAGCGAGCTCGCGCCGAGCCCGGATACTGCGCCTGCGCCGCGGCGGCGGCTCGTCTCTACCGGGTCCGCTCCCCTCCGACGCCCCTGCGACGCAGTCTCCTTACCCCTTTGAGCCGCTTGACCAGGGCACTCTTCTGTCCACTCTTGGCCAGGCCTCGCTGTTCCAGTGCGGCCTTCAGGTCGGTCACTCGCAGCGCCTGAAGCGGCTTCCCGTCCAGAGTCACCTCCTCCAGTTCCGCCATCTTGTGTGAGGTACTCGGCTCCCGTCTCGACGGCTTCGGGCATCTTCGGTAATTTCCGCCAACGCCCTTCGAACGTGCCGATCCGACCCCGCCCACTGCCACGGCCAACCCTTCCCCCTCTCCGTCCTCTGATCCGAATGCTCAGTCTCTTCGAGAGCACTCGGGTATTTCCGTTCCCACCTTAGCACCAATCAGCAGTTTCCATTCTCTCCATAGGCTCCGCCCCCCGCGCTCCACTCTCGGAGCTCGGAGATCTCCGTCCTACCGAGCCTAGGACTAGATTCCGTTCGTAAACGCTCTCCCCTGGCAGAATCGGACTCGGAGACGTTCGGGTTTCTCCGGCTCCACCGCTCTGGAAATAAGGTCCGGCTTATTGGTGCCGAGGCGCCCGGAGGGGTTCGGGGCCTTGTGCGAGGTCCGGAAGTGCGTGGGTTGCCCAGTGGGGTTTGCTGGGAACATGGAGGTGGCAGAGGTAGCCGGAACCCACGGACTCCCGTGACTTCCTTCTGGGGTCCCCCGGGGTGAGAATAAGGAGGTAAGCTAGGCGAAGGCCCTTCCCTTGGGCCGGCTTACCTTTTATCTGAGCATTGGTGTTGATCTCTTTACCCCACCCTCACCCCGAGCGGTCTCCCCCAGGCTCTTGATGTAGTGAGGAGCCCGCTTTGGGGCGCCGGGTTTGGTGGGGGCGTGGTGTTGTAACTTTAGGGTCCAGATACAAACTTGGCCCAGACTTAAGAGAGCCGAAGTTCTTCCATCCACCCCCACGTCTCTAACCTTCCCTCAACATCTGTTCAAAGGGGAAGATTGACTTCCCAATATTTAATGCCCACAGATTGCACTATTATTACTTGCATGCTAAAATGAGGCGAGACATGAAGCCCCCACCCTGTGTCCTATGCATTGTAACCAGGATTTAAGACTAGTCAGTTCGGGTGATCCAGGCGAGTGGGATTTCCCGAACTCCCGGGGTAGCAATCCTGTACTTTAATGTCAACTTTAGAATGACACTTGTGGCAACACTGTAGCAGATTCTTCCTTCCTTCTGAGAGCTAAGTTTGCATTCTGCCCTACTGCCTCTGTCCCTAGGGATCCAGCTATTTGGGCTCATGAAAGAAGGGCTAGGAACTCCCTAGACAGAGTAGTGAGGCTGTGAGATTGTAGCTGTTGCTGATAATTTAGCCAGTGCTGGCTTTCGTTTATTGACCGCTGTTGCTACATGTCTTTCACATTTGTCAGGAGAAGAAACAGTGCCTAGTAGTTGAATTGCTTGGAAAAAACTGTAGCCTGCCTGAAAGGATTTATAGGCTAGCAGTTTCATATTTAAAAGGTTTAAAATAACTTAGGTAAAATTGGACACAGCCTCACCCCATCAGCATAAAATCAACAGTTAAGGTATTTGTCAGCAATATGTTAGTAAATGAGATGGGAATTACATATAGTGAGTAAAAATATAAGTATCCATTTCATCTGTTTCAGATGCTTGGCCTTCCAAACCAACAATACTGTTTCTCTAGAGTTTTTGGCAAAGATCAGGAGACTTAACTTTCTTGCTAGTCTCTTGAATGACTTTGGGTTAGTCCCTTATATCTGTTTTTAAATTTTTTCAGTTGCAAAATGAGATAAGTGCTTTACAGTGAACTGATTAGATGGTGGGTCCTGCATGAAGCACCAGTAGCTGTTAGCAGTGCAAGGAAGATTCTTTACCATGAAACTCAGTGATGACTTTCAATATCATTTGCCCTTTACTCAGTGACCAAAGCACTCAAAGCTTTGTGCAACTAAATTTGTTGTACAAAAGGATTCTGCTGTTAAATGTATATTTATTTTAGAGGGAATAAGTTAGATCAACATGCTTCTTGCCTTTGCCCAACTTTGGGGGAGCTTAGATAGAAGGAGGAAGAATGAGAAATATTGGTTATTTTGGTGATTATTACAAGGATTAGATTCCAAAGGGAAGCGCTGAGTTTGAAGAGGTGGGGAGTAAGGATGGCAGAGTTGGAATAAAATTGTTTTAAGGGGACCTTTTCAATGTAGTACTGCTATTTATCTTCCAAAATAGTTAAATATGGGATAGGAGAAAAGAGTACATTTTTTATGTACTTGAAGAGCTAAATTTTGTACCAAGAGCCATGTGTTAGCTGTTTGGCCATCAAACTTAGGGGTATCCTTATTTTATCCATTGTAAGACTATCTTTTGTTTTACCCTTAGGATGTCACTGACGTCAACTGCCTCTTGGATATCACCATCCTCCTCCTCTACATTAGCCACTACTCCAGAAAATTACTCCTTTTTCTCCATGTCTTACTTCACTTCGCAAGAGATGAAATGTGTCCTACATTGGTTTGCCAGCTGGTCCGATCCCCAGCGTGAACGTTTCCTGCAGGACTTGGTAGCAAAGGCAGTGCCAGGCAAACTACAACCCCTCTTAGAGGGATTGGAACAGCTTAGTGTGTCTGGAGCGGACCGACCACCACGCATCTTTGATTGCCAGCTCCGACTCTGGGACCAGTGGTTCCAAAGTTGGGCTGAGGAGGAGCGCAACGAGTTTGTCAGACAACTGGAGGCCAGTGAGCCAGACTTTGTAGCAAAGTTTTATCAAGCAGTAGCTGCCACAGCTGGTAAGGACTGATAGGAGTCAGCATCATAAAAGACAGTATGACTCTGATAGAGTTGGGTCGATGGCTTTGATGTGGGAGTGCCCAGATGAGAAGGAAATGTCTAGGGATGACACCCAGGTCTGTTTTCAGAGTTATTGTTGTTGGACTTCTAGCCTATAGATCACTACAGATTTTAAAAACAAAGCCAATCCAAATCATTGGGCTATTCTTCTGCTTCCTCCAAATAATCCTCTAAAATTCCTAAGACTGTATCATGCTGACTTTCTTTGAAAGCTGTCTCTGAAAAGAATTGAAATATCAGAAACCCCGATCTCCCTAGAGTTGGTCCACTGGAGGGGGTGAAGGGTGGGGAAGTGAGTGGAACACTCCTGCTATGGGAGCAAGCTATACCCGGTGGATATCAGTTCAAAGAGCTTAGCTAAATCTGGACCAGTGATCTCCTGGACCCCTGTGGTTTGTAAGCTTAAGTGTTAGGGTATCAATGGGTCAGTCAAATGGAGTAGAGATGATTACATGCCAAACCTAAGAGCCCTGGTTCACAGTATTTTTAGAGCCAGTAGCAAGAGTTTTTATTTCATAATTTATCTCTACCAAGATTATGGAAACAAATGTCATGTCCTATGGGATAGAAAATTTATTTTTGTAATTCAGGAAATAATAGGTACTGGGAATACAAAGACAAAAATTAAAATGGTCTTTGCCCAGGTACTTGTACCAGAATAAAAGGATGCTCTTGTTGAATCTGAATGATCTTTTTTTCCCTCTGGGACCTAATAAAGGATTGAACTAGAGCCTGGTAAAGGAGGGTAGCCAAGGACAAGTAGAAACTTGGGGTCATAGGTATAATTCATCTCCATCTTCTTGGTGGTTCTTCCCACTTCTGTAAAGTCTTTCTGATTTAAGGTTTCATCTTTTTTTTTCCTCCATCTAAATGAAAATCTGAACTGTGACCTAATGACAGGTTTTTTTTCCTCCCCACCAATCTATGACAGAAGAAAGGCATTCTTTTCACTCTAGGTCAGGGGTGGGGAACCTGTGGCCTTGAGGCCACGTGTGGCCCTCTAGGTCCTCAAGTGTGGCCCTTTGACTGAATCTAAACTTCACAGGACAAATCCCCTTAATAAAAGGATTTGTTCTATGAAAGGGCCACACTTGAGAACCTAGAGGGCCACATGTGCCTTCAAGGCCGCAGGTTCCCCACCCCTTCGGGTTGATCCAGAACCCATGGCAAAGTGCTCAAAAAGGAGTTCATACTCACATCTGGAAAGATATAAGGAGCGTAATGTGTGTCAGGCATTCTTCTAAGCATTTGGGAATACAAAGATCAAAAAAGTCCAAAAGTCTTAGCCCTCGAGGAACTTGAGGAAAGTGGGAAGGATATAACATACAAAGTTAGTAGGGCCCAAACACTAATGCAGACAGTTGGAAAAATCCTCTTGTAAGATGTGGCATTAAATTGAACCTTCAAGGGACCTAGTGACAATAGGTGAAAGTGAGGGAAAACATTTGTAGGCCTAGGGAAAAGCTTGTGAAAAAGAAGACAGAGATGGAAACACAGGGTATATCACATAGATCTGGAAAGTGAGGTTGGAGCCAGATTATAAAGGACTTTAAATGCTAGAATCATATTCTGTCCTAGAGCCAATAAGCAGCTCTTGAAGCTTCCTAAGCAGGGGGATGACATGGTTATATTTAATAATCCTACCTATCTCAGCTCATGTTCATGATAATGTCACATTATACTTCCCTCATTCCCTCAGATAGGCTTCTTATTGATCCTGGGAGTCCTGATGAAGGATAAGAGGCTGATGGTGAAACTCGAAGGGAAGCTTGGTATTTTCTGTAGGCCACAGTTCCCCCTGTACCCATCAGAATAAGTAGAATGAGGCTGAGGCCTATGGGCAGGACTATACCCAGATTTGGGGAAATGAGGCCTGGTGAAGCCAGCCACCTAGATAGAAAGAAGGAACACTTAGTGATTAGTTTATTTATAGGAATTTTCATTGTATCCACCTCCTCACCCCCAACCTAAGTCATCATCTTAATATGGAAGAGTTCTAAAATGAGGAAGTGACAACTAGGTTGTAGGAGACCTTAAGTGTCCCAACCCAAAATCCTTTGGTCTTATGTAGAAGCACCTAAATTCATATCATTTCAGGAAACTTCAGTATCAGGAAAGAGGTCTACCCTAGCCTGTGTTGATGTTAGATTTTTGAGGTGAGGCAGGACCATTGATCCCAAAAGCAGAGTTTAATAGAGAAGGATCCTGGATGATTACCTTTCGGGGGAAGGGGAGGGGGTAAGGAACTCAGATCACTTTGGCTTGGAAATGGTGAAGTTCTGTAATTTCACCTGATTAGCAAAAGGTAATCACTGTTGGTCAGGGGCCACGTCTTCAGAAAAAATTTGATATGTATGTCCCATAGGGCCATGTAAGTGTTAAATGCTGCTCTTGTCTTTAGGTCCTAGAAGTGCCAAAGAGTGTATTCTGGAATGGCTCCTTACCTGTTGTAGTCTGTGGTAAAGGTGGCTCCACCATAATCCACATTTAATGGTGTATCATTGAGGGATTGGCTCAGAGCTCTATATAGGATCTCAGCTGGGGGCCCTTGACAGCCAGGAAACTCCCACATATGCACAGTAAACACCAGGTTAGAGTTTATTGATGGACTGTGGAAATGGCACCTGAATTGACATTTAGAAGAAAAATAGAATAGAATAGAATAGATGAAGTTACATATTTTCCTCATATTTAGAGTGTAAGTTCCTAGAAGAGTAAATTTTAGATTTAGGCCATTTAGAAAAATGGGTGTTAACAGACAAATATAGCTTCTTTGGAGAAGGGATATAGAGGTTAGATCCTGGGACCCCTTCAATCCTGACTTAGACATAGTACATCTTAGGTATTTACGTGTGAGTGCCTGCTCTGATCACCAGGGCCTGCAGTATAGTTTGGGTCAATTCCTGCTGCTGCATTTTGCTCAGGTAGTAGCCTGGGGGCCCAGCTAGTCCCAGGGCCAACTGGATCAGCAAGCCTGAGGATGAAGGGCTTGTAGTTGAGGGAGGAAGAGCCATAAGATCTTCATTTGCCTGGCAGAACTGGCCCCAGGGACAGAAGAGAAGTCCATGATACCCAGGGACCTGTAAGGAGGAGCAAAAATATAGCTTGAGGCCTCAACTACATGTTTCTATCCTTTATTCTAGAGGAGGAGGTCCAATCTAGAACAGAACCATTCAGGGAGCTCTTTACAAATGATGAATATCTGAAAGGTTACTCCCAATTGCTGCTCACCTGAATAGACTTCCCTGGGAGGCAGGGGACCCAAGGTGATCCTGCTGCCTGCACATATGTACTTCCTTCTGTGCATCTATGTAAGTAGCATCGACCAGTGAGTTCCACCTGCCTCAAGGGCAGAACCTGAGGGAGGGGTGTGGTTCCTCTCCTGGGTACCAGGACTGAAGTGAGGTTAGCAATGAAACATCGGCTTTTAGAATGGTAGATCTCCCCGTGTGGGTTTCCTGCCGTAGAAAGGGGTGCATTTCCCTTCTTCCAGCATTCACTCTGAAGAGGGCCAAGAGATGGGAGAGTCTGTGCTTCATGCCTTAGTCCTGAGCTGCTTAAGTAAAGCTGACCTTACCCCTAGCTTCCCAGGTTACTTACCTGATTTGCTAATGGCTTATACATGCGGCAGCCTTCCAGCAGGGGGTCTGATGAGCATTGCCCCTTGTCAAATCGAAGGTAGTGACAGCCCAGCCCACTGTGGAAAAGAGCAAGGAGTGAAACTAAGGTCAGAGGCAACCCTCTTGTCCACCACTGTCTGAATGCAGTGCACACACCTGCCAACACAGAAGAAGTCTGACGAGCCAGATCTGCAGGATGTCACCAATCCAAAATTCAAACCAGATCCTGCTTAGAGAATTGAAAAGGAAGTTGGAGGGGCCGCTAGGTGGTGCAGTGGATAGAGCACTGGCCTTGGATTCAGGAGGACCTGAGTTCAAATCTGGCTTCAGACACATAAAAACACTTACTAGCTGTGTGACCCTGGGCAAGTCACTTAACCCCATTGCCTAACCAAAAAAAAAATAAAAAAAAAGTTTACCCTGTGTAATACTTCTCTAACTTTACAGTCTTGGTTCAAAAAAATTTTAGGGGCAGCTAGGTGGCACAGTGGATAGAGCACCAGCCCTGAAGTCAGGAGGACCTGAGTTCAAATCCAGCCTCAGACCAAACACCTGACACTTACTGTGTGACCCTGGGCAAGTCACTTAACCCCAATTGCCTAAAACAAAACAAAAAAAAAAAGAAAAGAAAGTTGGAAGAAGGCCATAACATTCCCCTCCTCTCCCATTACTACTGTTAAATTTGGGATTAAAATATTTGTGCTATGTATTTCAGGGTTGTAAGGCAAGCACAAGGTGTACCTGAAAGGTTTTTCTTTCCTGTAGCACCTTGACTCATACTTAGTAGCATCCCTCTTCTTAGCCACCTGCAGAATATCTGATCCCTTATTCTTACCCTGACCCCAAAGCAGTTCCTGTGCAGCACTGTGATTTACTTGGTACCAGCCAGAGTCAGCAAAGGCAGCAAGAGTGATAAGGTCAATCTGGGTACGGTGAGCACCACCAAAGGTAGCAGTCATCACAGAGCCCTGGAGTAAACGGGCTTCCCAGTGAGAGGAAAATGGACCCTGCAGATTAGAATGTGTAAGAGGGTGTTTAGGACCTTACTCCTAGCTTGCTCTTCCTTCTGCAGCTCTTTTGCTTTAACCTCTACTCTTACCTCTTCCTCCAGGGGGACTCCCTGCATGGCTTCTGAGACTCCCAAGTGCTTGGCTAGGCTGTGGCTTACAGTGGGGGTGGTGAGAATCAACTGCCCCCATTCATCCCTTCTGGTCACCTGTCGCCTTGGGGAACATTTTTCTCCAACTGGTGAGCAGGTTAGAAGTGAATGAAAAGACAGAAGGGATAGAAAGGGTGGATTGGGGAGAAGGGGCAACATGAAAGAAACAAGGGACTTAGAGGTGAAGAAAGAAGACTTAAAGGAACCTTGATATAGGGTTCCCATTGGTTGGGATTGCAGGTGTCCTCTATCCTTTCCCTTTACTCACTGCTGGGGCCTGCAGTACAATCCCTCCATTTCTTGAAGAGTTGCCCAGAGAAGCCCAGGACATGGAACAGTTCATGTATTGTGGCCTGAAGAAGGGAAGAACAGATCCAGGGGTGGGGCAACTGGACAGGAAGACCAGAATCTTCTCTTTCACCTTGTTGTGGTTATATCTTTCTTATGTACCCCGAACAGATAAAAGTACCTCTCCCCCCCAGATAAGTGATCCTCTCCCTATTCTGCCCTTCCCATCACAATCTAGTCACCATGACAATGTCACTGTGGCTGTAGTGGAGGCCACTGAGGTGATGTGTGCAGAAGATGATGGTGCCTGCAAGGGGCCGATCTGCACTATCCAGCTGGCAGCAGGCAGCATAGGCAATGGTGGAGGGCTGTGGATAAACAGTGGTGGAAAGCAAAGAAATGTTGTTGGGAGGTGGGGACGCAGAATGGGGGAGATATGTAATTAGGCGATTCAGATAAGGAGTTAGAGAATAAAGGAGGGTGAATAGGGAGACAAGGTAATTTGATTTACTCCTCACCTCACGGTGGCATTTCATAGTGTGGGCTACTCGTACATATAAGAGGAAATCAGTGTCTGGAATTCCAGGCCCATCTGGTTGGATCAATTCTGGGGGACCTTGTTCTGGCCATAAGGAATAACCACGGAGATGGGAATCAGGGATCTGGAGAGAACAGAATATAGGAGCAGGCCCAAACTGGGAAATGGGTAAGTGGGAGAGAGATCAGAAAACTGGGAGCCAAGGAATTAAGATCAGGAGTGAGAAGGAAATGTAATAGAAAGAACATTGGATTTGGAAGTACAAGACCTATGTTTGCATTCCTGCGCTGCTACGTCAATCAGTAAGATAAGTTAAGCAACTACTATGTGCCAGACACTGTACTAAGAGCTGGGGATACAAAAAGGGGCAGAAGTGTCTGCCCTCAAGGAGCTTACAACCTAATTGGGGAGACGATACATAAATATATACATAACAAACTATATATAGGATAAATAGGAAATAATAGAGGAAAGGCACTGGAATTAAGAGGAGTTGAGAAAGGCTTCTTGTAGAAGGTGGGGCTTTGGTTGGGAATTAATGGAAGCCAGGGAAGTTAGTAGAGCAGAGGAAAGAGAGCGTTCCAGACATGGAGGAAAGCCAGAGAAAATGCTAGGACCTGGTGAGCAGGAGTGTCTTGGCCAGGAGGCGAGTGTTACTGGATCAAAATATGTGTCAGGGAGTACTAAGAAAAAGACTGGAAAGGTAGTGTGGGGCTAGGTTCTGAAGGGCTTTGAATGCCAAACAGCGTTTTGTGTTTGATCCTGCAAGCCATAGGAAACCACTGGAGTTTATTGAATGGGAGACATGATCTGACCTGGGTTCTAGGAAAATCGATTTCATGGCTGAATGGAGGCTGGATTGGAGTCAGGAGAGATTTGAGGCAGGCAGACCCACTAGCAGGCTATTGCAATAATCCAGGCATGAGGTAATGAGGGCCTGCACCAGGGTGGTGGCAGAGGAGAGGAGGAGGCGTATTTGAGAGATGTTGCCAAGGTGAAATCAACAGGCCTTAGCAACAGATTGGATGTGGAAAGTGAGAGATAGTGAGGAGTCCAGAATGACTCTTAGATTGCCAGCCCGAGACACTGGGAGGATGGTGTTGCCCAATATAACAATAGGGAATGTAGGGGAATAGGGAGGGAATAATACTCAGGTTACTACTCAGCCTTAGTTTTCTGACATGCAAAATTAAGGAGTTACACTTTGATGACCTCAAAAAGTTCTACTTGCTCTAAATCTGTGATACTATGGTCAGAGATTCAATGGTTATTTGATACAAGTCACTCACCTTTACCCCCAGACAATTCTCTCCCACATAGCCAGGGTTCAAAAGGCTGCATCTGTCAAGAGAACCCCTCAGGAGTGAGCTAGAGACACTCATCGGCTTTTCTGCAGAATAATTGTTCCCACCCCCTTTATAGCATATACTCACCTGTAGTGGCTTGGGGAATCTGGGTCCCTCCAGATAACTTGACAATACTGTTCTGGGTCACGACTCAGAAGAAGGGGTCTTTGCATGGGTGGGACTCGGGGGAGATAGAAGTCAATTAGCCTTTTCTATAACATCTTAGGATCCCCAGTCCTTTTGAGTCAATATCTCTTCCTCAAAATCTTCATTGCAATTCATCATGGCTCCTTCTCCTTTTCCACCCCCTTACCTGCAAGCAGCTCCTGGATCCGATGAATGGCCTCTCTCAGAACTGCATCTATCTGAGTTTCCCGGTACATCCAGTCTCTCTCAGGGTACAAAGCCTCGCTTTTTAAATGTGATCCCTTAGGATACCAGGCCTGGATACGAATTGGGCTTAGAGTACTGGAATGGGAGAGGGAACCAGAGCGTGGCTTGAGGGATGGTGGGGAAACAGGTGGCCCAATGAGACTCACAGACCCCTGTGTTTCCTCATGTAGACAGCGGCCCTTAATCCCCTTCAGGAACAGCAGTAGGAGTAGGAATAGCAGAGAGGACTGTGTTCCCCAGCAAGCCCCCTCACAGCCTGACCTAGGCATTGCTCTCCTTCCCAGCTTTCTAGCTCAGCTCACAAACAGGGTTACTCTTTCTCATTCTCATCTGCCCCTTTCCTTTTATTTCCCCTGTTGCCACTGACAAGGAGTTGACAAACAGATTTCTTTAGGATGTGAAGCTTGGAAAGAAGGAAGCCCCCTCCTCAGGGGACCGAGAATGGAGAGCTTGGGGGTGGGGAGGTAATTTTTTCTGAGGCCTCAGCTGAGCTTAGTAAAAGAGGCCCTGCTGTTCACAGCTCAGAGCCCCAAGGGTGGCAGCTGCTGTGGCTAAGTGTTGATGAAACCAGTGGTGTCAAACTCAAATAGAAACTGGGGCCACCAATCCATACATAAGCATCCTTGCTGGCAGCTGGCAGTGACTTAGTTTTAATAAAATGCAGTGTTATCTATGTTTCATTGCATTTTTATTTATTTTGTTAAATATTTCCAAATTACATTTCAGTCTGGTTCAGGTAACACCCTGGAGTATTGTGGAGCCTTTTTTTTTTTTTGAAACCCTTTGGACTACACAATAGCTGAGTGAAATCATCTTATCTCTTAAAGCCCAGAGAACTGGAAAGAGGGGTGAGGGAGGAGTATAGAAACAGAGAAGCACAACAACTGGGCCCTGCAGTGCCCCTGTTCCAATTGGGTCTCCAAATCAGGATGAATAGTTTGCCTTCCCTACATCAGCCCCTTCCTTTTCATTCTGGGGAGCCCAGAAGGGCCATACCATAGAATCTTCAGTGGGCATCGAGTCCAAACTACATCTTAGCAAAGATTACCTTCATGGTTATAACACAGCATGTGGTTATCCAGCTTTTGCTTGAAGACCTCAAGTGAAGAGAAACCCCTAAATCCTGGGGCAGCCCATTCCACTTTTAGATAGCTCTAATTGTTTGGATTTTTTTTCCTTACATCAAGCCTAATTTTTTTTTCTTACATCAAACCTAAATTCTGCAACTTCTACCCCATGCTTCTAATTCTATCTCCTTCTTCCATGTGACACCCTTCAGATACTTGGAGCCAGCTGGCTATCACATCCTTCCTAAATTCTTTACTCCAGGCTAAACATTGCTAGTTCTTTCAAACTCTCCATGTGAAGTGAAAGTCTTAAGCCTCCTGTCTTGCCCTCTGAAGGCTCTCCAGCTTAATTATATCCTTTGCAAATCTTGGTGCCCAGAACTGAACAGAATATTTCACATGCAGCCTGACCAGGGCAGACAACAGGGTGATCCTCTGCCCTGCTTAGTACTGTACACCCTGCCTCTCTTAATGCTCTCTAACTTTGAAATAGCTTTCTTAGCTATCACATCACATTGCTGAATCATATGGAGTATATAGTCAGCAATTCCATTCAAAAAACATCTGTAATTTCCATGATTTCTAGCCCCACCTCTGACACATACCTGCTGTGTATAGGGGAAGGTTACTTAATTGAGTTCAGTTCTATCCCTTCCCCCAACTCTCTATGATCAGAAATTATAGACCAGTTGCTGACCTGTATTGGTAAAGGGAACTTCCTTACCTAGAGGTCCCAACACAGATGAAATCACAGGTACAAACAAAAAATGTGTATAAAATGTGTGTGTGTGTGTATGTGTGTGTATACACACACACACACACATACACACTCACAAAGTACTTATATTCTATTCAGGGACACATCATGTAAGTTCATACAAAGTTTATACAAAAATAATATCTGACGTTCAAACCTTACAGTCTTCCTTAAACCCCTGGAGGACGTGCAAGGAGGGTGTACTCACATAACTGAGGCATAGGTAGGACGATGATGGAGGCTGATTCAGCAAGATCCAAGGATAGACCTCATGTAATCAGTGGGAACTTAGGACAGGTAAATTGGTCAAGTTTTCTATATCTTCTTCATCCTTCTTTGATGAAGTCCTTCTGACTAGTCTACAAGGACCTCTTTCTTCTCTAAACTATCTATTGCCTTTCTAGTGTGTACTGCACCACTGGGCATTTGGTTGCATTCTGTCTGGTATTGCTTTTTATCCTCCTCAGGAGACAGCTTGGTGTAGTATAAGAAACAAGAGACTTGGAATCAGATGCCCTGGTGGTCAGTTTAACAAATATTTAGTTTCCCTATTTGAAATAACCTACATTCTATTGGGAGGAAGCAACAAGTACATATAAAAACATATATAGAATAAGTATAAAGTTAATAAATGCATACAAAGTAATTAAATACAATATAGTTTAGTATGAGGATGTTAAAAGTTGGGGGATCAGAAAAGGTTTCGTGGTGCCTGATGCTGCATCTTAAAGAAAGAGAGGGCCTCTGAGGCAGAGGTAAAGAAAGGAGTATGTGAAAGTGTCATACATTAATTAATACAAGTTACAATATGATGAGTATGTATGGCATCCTCTCTGGGCTTACTCAGACTAGCAGTTTGGCTCAGGAGAGGCAGCTGACTATTGCACCCCTCAGGGTTTTGAGGTAACCCTGAGCATTAGGGGCTTCTAATACTCTTGATAATGAGCTCCCACCTGTAGTGCTTCCTCCATATCAATGAATCAGTCGATAGCAATTAGCTTTTACAAAAGAGATATTTTCAGATTGCTTGCTATCTTAGGGAGGGAGAAGAGAAGGGAGGGAGGGAGAAAAATTTGGAACTCAAAATCTTACAAGAATGAATATTGAAAACCATCTTTACATGTAACTGGAAAAAATATTAAGAAAAAATAAACAAGTTGTTTATATAGTAAAAAAAAAAGGCATATTTTACTAAGAAGTTATAGTAAGGAAAGAAGTTACAAAAAACACCTCTCTAGGCACGGGGTCACCCTCCCCTTGCTTATATGACAAGGTCCTTAGGAAGAGTGGGCTCACTCACAGGAGTAGTCAGGCACACCTACAGAGAATATGTCGGACTCAGGAATACCTTGAAACTCCTGACCCTTGGAGTCCTTTTTCCCTTTTGCAAAAATACTCTCACTTCAGGGCAAGGCTCTAGTGAGTTGTTCCCCTTGCTTAGCTGGGCTAGTTCCTGGAAGGACTTGAGGTCTCAGCTGGTAGATCAAGCCATTGCTCAGATGGGTCAGACAGGTCACCCAACTTGCAGCTCCTCCCTGCACTCAGCTATCTCTGCTACTGGCTCTGGTGGTCTCTGTTATTACTGTTCACTGAGGATATCTCTGGTGGCTCCTCTGACCTTTCAAAACTTGGGAGGTCATTTCCCTAACTCCATACTAATTTGCCTAGGGTAGGGAGGAAGCTTCTAGCTTCCCTTCAAGTCACCCCAAGGTTTATACCAGTTTTTGCATCACTAGGCACTATGAGAGGAAAAGTTAAAAAAAAAGTGCTAAAGTGCGGGCAGATAGATTTTAATTTATTTATTTCTGTATTTGAACTTAGTTCCAGCTCCTCAGCCAATAAGAAAACTCATCACCACCTGGCAGCAGTCATGACCCTGCCTCCTCCTCCCTGCCTTTCCTACAGGACAGAAGTAGGCTCAGCAAGCTTCCAAGTGTTGGGTTGGAATGATGCAGGTAATATTACTTATGCTCTATATAACCCACTAGGAAAGGCAGAAGCAAGCACGCTCTGAGGACTGGTCCCTCACTGATCAGTCCTCCCACTACATGTAATAGAGTGACATCCTGGAAAACAGTATAAAGAATCTGAGGAGGAACTTTATGGCTGAGGGAATCTGAGGAAGCTTCATGGAGAAGGTGGCACCTGAACTATGCCTTGAAAGATTTCATTGAGGAGGAAATGTGGCAGACCATTATGTTCTGTGTCTGGAATGCATTCCCTCCTCATTTCTATCTCTCAGAATTCCTTGATTCCTTCAAAACTTTGCTCAATCTCCAAGCTTTTTCCCTGGTTGCTAGTACTTTTCCCTTTTCCCCCATTTATCTTACATAAATTTTGTATTTATTTATGTATACCTGTTTCCCTGGGCAGCTAGGGGATGCAATGGATAGGGCACTGGGCCTAGAGTCCAGAGGTCTGCAGTTCAAAATCAGACTCAAGGGGCAGCTAGGTGGCACAGTACGGGGCAGGTAGGTGGCACAGTGGATAGAGCACTGGCCCTGAAGTCAGGAGGACCTGAGTTCAAATCCAGCCTCAGACCAAATACTTGACACCTACTAGCTGTGTGACCCTGGGCAAGTCACTTAACCCCAATTGCCTAAAAAATTAAAAAAAAAATTAGCCTCAGACACTGAACAAGTCACAAAACCCTGTTTGCTTCAGTTTCTTCATCTGTAAAATGTGCTGGAGAAGAAAATGGCAGACCATTCCAGTATTTGCCAGTAAATCCCAAATGAGAGGGTCATGAAGAGTATGACAGCAATGAAATGACTAAACATCTCCCTAGATAGCACTTAAGTGCCTTGAGGACAGAGACTTTTTTTTTTTGTATCCCTAACTTGTAGCACATGTCTAGCTCTTAGCAGATGAATAATAAATGTGCTCATTTGATTGATTACAGGCTTTGGGAAAGGAATGAGCCCTGAGGCAAGTTAGGATGGGGAGATAGGGGGAA